GTAGATATGATAACAGTTTGGTAAGATTGTTAATGAACTTTTTTTGATAAATATTGAGTCTCATAATATTTTGGTATAGGGAACGAGATATCGAAATAAATTTACGATTTCTTCATTATCCCGTATTGATAAAGCTTGGTTTATGTTTTTCACCTCCAACACCTGTCGATTCTACAAATACAGAGCATAAAAAATGTAAGATATAAATGTTTTGCAGCGTAAGAATTATATCCTACAGTTGTTAATTATTTCTTATTATAAATATAAGCAAAAGCTACATATTTTCCATTAGTCAATATTCAATATGATATTTTAGATTTTATAAAGCCATGCCCTGAAAGCATTCTTCAACGAATGCAGCAGGAACGGCATTTTGCTATCTATCCTTCAGTACCTAATTTTATTGCACCTTTAGAAGGTGATTTTTTTGCAACAAAATTTGACTTTAAAAAAACTTTAGAAACTTTGATCAATGTATCCGGTAGTGACAAAGAAAGAGAGGTAATATTTGAACCAGTGTGGCAATGATAATGGTATGATAAATTATTATCATTATTATCATTGCCATTATTATTGTGTTGTGATTATTATTCATAGTTAACACGTAATACATTCATTTTGTAAAAAGGAAGCTCCAATTACCGATTTTATATCTTCGCTAAACTTGAACACGGCGATTATCAAGTTTTTCTTAAGGGCAAGTAGCAATTCTTCAACCTCTATGACTAGTCAAAATGAAACATTCGATGAGACTTGCATTGATGGTACATGGAAAAAGTGTTTGTCGGTGCTCCTTGGAGAAAATATTGAAACGTATGTAATCAGATTTACATTGCAGAATATAATGTAAAATTGCTAATATATTTGATCGTAACATTATTAAGGTCGGATCTTCAAGAGATCATAAAGACCGCAGATCATGCAATTTTTATAACTCCTTTGAATCTTGAACCTGTTATCCTAAATTTAAAGAAATGTATTTATGATGCATTAAATTCATTGCAGTATTTTTAATTGACCAAGACTAATTATTCAATACGTTTGTATCCATTCATCAGTGGATGAATGTGAAATTTCCAACCTTATTCCACAAAATTCTATAGGTGTTGAACTAAAAATAACAACCAATTCTCCAGAAACTTTGTTATTTGTTGAAGAAGCTTTGCTGGGGCGACTTGACGACTTTTCTACCAACACTACCAGTTCTGCTAACAAGATGGATGTTGGTGAGACCGGTAATATAACTTTTTCTTTAAAAAAAAAATTAGTATTATTATACAAAATTAAATGCCGTTTTTAATTTTGATAGTTCGACTTACATTATCTCAAAAAGTCAAAGAACAATTGATTAATCTTAAAACTGATCGTGATTCAT